ATTTTGGGACTTGCTGTTAAGGAAGATGTTTCCAGTAAACATCTTTATGTGCTGAGTCTCTACTTCCCCCATGCACGTTTTCCTCTGGTTCTTGTCCCTGAATTGGACTCCTGGCCTTGTTCCTTCTTGTCTTGCTGGCGATTGTTTGGCTCCCATTTCTGGCCTCCAGTGCTCAGAGCTGACTTCCATTGGAGATTTCATAATTATAGCTCAGAGAATTCAGAGACTTAGACCAGGGAAGGATCTCAGAGCACGGATATTGTGTCTAAACTCTTAGTATAAGAAGCCCTTTTAAATCCACCTGGCCAAAAAACCTTACTGACTTCCCATTATGTCCCAGGCTTTAGAGCAAGTCAGGATATTTTAAAAAATTAATAGAACCTCAAGAAACTCATCCTTCACCCTGAATAGCCAGGGGAATTTTAAAAAGGAAAACCATATCTGGGGGCATCACAATGCCAGATTTCAGGTTGTACTACAAAGCTGTGGTCATCAAGACAGTGTGGTACTGGCACAAAAACAGACACATAGATCAATGGAACAGAATAGAGAACCCAGAAGTGGACCCTGAACTTTATGGTCAACTAATATTCGACAAAGGAGGAAAGACTATCCACTGGAAGAAAGACAGTCTCTTCAATAAATGGTGCTGGGAAAATTGGACATCCACATGCAGAAGAATGAAACTAGACCACTCTCTTGCACCAGACACAAAGATAAACTCAAAATGGATGAAAGATCTAAATGTGAGACAAGATTCCATCAAAATCCTAGAGGAGAACACAGGCAACAGCCTTTTTGAACTCGGCCACAGAAACTTCTTGCAAGATACATTCACGAAGGCAAAAGAAACAAAAGCAAAAATGAACTATTGGGACTTCATCAAGATAAGACGCTTTTGCACAGCAAAGGATACAGTCAACAAAACTAAAAGACAACCTACAGAATGGGAGAAGATATTTGCAAACGATGAAATAGATAAAGGGCTAGTTTCCAAGATCTATAAAGAACTTATTAAACTCAACACCAAAGAAACAAACAATCCAATCATGAAATGGGCAAAAGACATGAAGAGAAATCTCACAGAGGAAGACATAGACATGGCCAACACGCACATGAGAAAATGCTCCGCATCACTTGCCATCAGGGAAATACAAATCAAAACCACAATGAGATACCACCTCACACCAGTGAGAATGGGGAAAATTAACAAGGCAGGAAACCACAAATGTTGGAGAGGATGCGGAGAAAAGGGAACCCTCTTACACTGTTGGTGGGAATGTGAACTGGTGCAGCCACTCTGGAAAACTGTGTGGAGGTTCCTCAAAGAATTAAAAATAGACCTGCCCTACGACCCAGCAATTGCACTGTTAGGGATTTACCCCAAAGATTCAGACGCAATGAAACGCCGGGACACCTGCACCCCGATGTTTCTAGCAGCCATGTCCACAATAGCCAAAGTGTGGAAGGAGCCTCGGTGCCCATCGAAAGATGAATGGATAAAGAAGATGTGGTTTATGTATACAATGGAATATTACTCAGCCATTAGAAACGACAAATACCCACCATTTGCTTCAACGTGGATGGAACTGGAGGGTATTATGCTGAGTGAAGTAAGTCAATCGGAGAAGGACAAACAGTGTATGTTCTCATTCATTTGGGGAATATGAATAATAGTGAAGGGGAATAGAAGGGAAGGGAGAAGAAATGTGTGGGAGATATCAGAAAGGGAGACAGAACATAAAGACTTCTAACTCTGGGAAATGAACTAGGGGTGGTGGAAGGGGAGGAGGGCGGGGGGTGGGGGTGAATGGGTGACGGGCACAGAGGGGGACACTTGGCGGGATGAGCACTGGGTGTTATTCTGTATGTTGGTAAATTGAACACCAATAAAAATTAATTTATTAAAAAAAAAAGAAACTCATCCTTCAGCGAGAGATACAAGCACATAGATGTATACATAAAACATGAGCTGATCATTCCTCCTGAAGGCTATTCATCCAGGCTATGACTGTACATCCCCATGACTGGGGGCCATCTTCTATGTCCACCCCACCCAACTCTAGGCTGATTCCTTTAGGTTTTATTTTATTTTACATATATATTTATTTTTTAATTAGAGTTCAATTTTCCAACATACAGCATAATGCCCAGTGCTCATCCCATCAAGTGCCCCCCTCAGTGCCTGTCACCCAGTCACCCCCACCCCCCGCCCACCTCCCTTTCCACCACCCCTTGTTTGTTTCCCCGAGTTAGGAGTCTCTCATGTTCTGTCTCCCTTTCTGATATTTCCCATTCATTTTTTTCTCCTTTCCCCTTTATTCCCTCCCACTATTTTTTATATTCCCCAAATGAATGAGACCATATAATGTTTGTCCTTCTCCGATTGACTTACTTCACTCAGCATAATACCCTCCAGTTCCATCCACATTGAAGCAAATGGTGGGTATTTGTCGTTTCTAATGACTGAGTAATATTCCATTGTATACATAAACCACACTTTCTTTATCGATTCATCTGTTGATGGACACCGAGGCTCCTTCCACAGTTTAAGGCTCACCCTTCTGGAAATCCATGGTTGGCCTCTGGTCTCCACGCTGACTCATTATTCCCTTGCATATCATACTTCTTTCAGTTAAAGATTCCATCATTTTTATAGGATCCATCCTCAACTTAACATTATCTTTTCAGGAAGTCAAAAATCCCACCATGCCAAATGTACACATCTTCAATCATATCTTACACACTGTATACCATATGTGCACAGACAAGATAACTCCCATACAAACAACTAACTAAGTTCACTGTCTAGCCAGGCTACCTTGGTCCAATTTCCAAATCTACTAGGCTAAGCCTCTTGAGAGCCTATTATCTTATTTTGATACCCTGGTGATTGATACACAGTAAGAGCCCAATGAATGAGCTCTTTGAGTAGATAAATAATAAGTGGCAAGAAAAATAGCTAGCATTTTCTGAGCACATACAACACCAGGCATTGAGCTAGGTATTTGGCATGGATTTTCTCACTTTATTTGCTCTTAAAAATTAAAAAATTAAAAAAAGAATGAAGTAAGGAGTTTTCTTATCCACATTTTATGTATGTGGAAACAAAAATCAGAGAAGTTAAGCAAGTCACTTCAAGCCTATAGCTAGAATGATAAAGGATAGAGATCTTAAACCAGTTTGGCTGGCATCAGAGTTTGAGTTCTGAACCTGACTCTGCCGTTCCAAGGAGTAAAGATTTTCATTGCTTCTCAGAAATTATGTTTATTCAGTTTCTTGCTTCCCTCACCTTCCTGTCCCTCTCACCCGAGGCCAAACACACCAAGATCATGTGCATCCTTCATTCGTATATTAGTACCTCTCTCTTAAAAACTACACAAGGGCAGCCCGGGTGGCTCAGTGGTTTAGCGCTGCTTTCAGCCCAGGGTCTGATCCTGGAGACCCGGGATCGAGTCCCACGTTGGGTTCCTTGCATGGAGCCTGCTTCTCCCTCTGCCTGTGTCTCTGCCTCTCTCTCTCTCTCTGTGTGTGTCTCTCATAAATAAATAAATAAATAAATAAATAAATAAATAAATAAATAAATCTTAAAAAAAATACACAAAAACTTAAAAGCAAAAAAAAAAAAAAAACAAGAGTAATGCAAACATAGCTGAGCAGTATGGAAAACATAGGACTAGTGCCTCCTTTGACCTGGATGGCATAATTCTGACTTATTTTAACAGCTGAGATACACTGTCCACTTAGGACTTTCTTATAAAAACTAAGCCAGGCTGCATTAAATAAATGCATCAGTCTTGCATTTATTTCAGTTGAACACTCTGTTACTGATAACATACATCTTTGGTTCAATATTATCTTTGTTAAAAACAAACAGAAAGGTCACCATGGCAAATGTACACAACTTCAATCCATACCTCGTGCCATATATAAAAATAAATTAAAAATGAAAATCTTTTTTTTAAAAAAAAAAAAGGTGGGGGGGCAGCCCGGATGGCTCAGCGTTTTAGCACCACCTTCAGCCCGGGGCATGATCCTGGAGACCGGGTATCAAGTCCCACGTGGGGCTCCCAGCATGGAGCCTGCTTCTTCCTCTGCCTGTGTCTCTGCCTCTCTCTCTCTCTGTGTGTATCTCATGAATAAATAAACAAAATCTTTTAAAAAAACTCAAAATGGATCATAGACCTAAATATAAAATTATAACACCTCTAGAAGAAAACATCGCAATTACTGTCATCTTGAATTAGACACGTATTTCTTACCTATGACACCAAAACTATAACACATGAAAGAAAAAACTGATAAAGTGGGCTTCATCAGAATGAAAGACTGTTCTTAAAATGTACTGTTAAGAAAATGAAGGGAAGCAACAAATTTGGGGAAAATATTTGCAGAACACATAAAGAACTTATTCAGAATATGTTTTAAAAACTTTAAAATATAATAAAAAGAAAACAATCCAATAAAAAAATTGAGCCCATATTTCACCAAAGAAGATGATTTATGGACAAATAAGCATATGATGCCCAGCATCATTTATCAATAAAGAAATTCAAATTCAAACCACCATGAGATACCAATATGCCCATATTCAAATGTGTAAAATATCCTGGCAATATCAAAATGCAGAACTCTCATGCATTGCTGCCTGAGTGCAAACCAGCACAGCAACTTTAGAAAACAATTGAGCAGTTTCCTAAAACATTAAACATACTCTTTTTTTTTTAAGATTTCATTTATTCATTCATGAGAGACTCAGAGAGAGAGAGAGAGGCAGAGACACAGGCAGAGGGAGAAGCAGGCTCCATGCAGGGAGCCCGACGTGGGACTCGATCCCGGGTCTCCAGGATCAGAACCTAGGCTGAAGGCAACACTAAACCACTGAGCCACCTGGGCTGCCCTAAACATATTATTATATGGCTAACAATTTACCCAGGAGAAATGAAAACATGTGTTCACACAAAAACCTGGACGTGAATGTTGATAATGGTTTTATTCATAATAACCAAAACCTGAAATTAGGATACATGTCCACTAAATGTTGAACAGGTGAACATTGTACAAGAAGTCTGTGCAACGGAATACAACTCAGCAATAAAAAGGAGCAGACTATTAATACATACAACAGTATGGGTAAATTTCACATGCATTCCCTAAGTAAAAGAATCCAGACTCAGGAAGTCTATATACCATATAATTAAATATTTATATTTTGCATTTCTATGGCATTCTGGAAAAGACCAAACTAACTGGATACAAAACAAAGTGCATGGGAGAGATTTGGCTATAAAGGTTTGCTACAAGGGAAACTTTTAGGGATGTAGCCATTCTGTGTGTTGATTTTGGTATCAGTCACATGATTGTATTTGTTGAAACTCCTAGAACTGCACAATAAGAAGGATACACCTTAGTGTACGTATACCTCGAAAGAAATGTATTCCTGTATGTTGCAACCAACGGTGGAGAAAATCTAGGTGGCAAAATCAATTGGACCTGCACTTCCGTGCAGGTAGGCTTTCTATTTACAACTCCCTTAACTATTACACTGTTAGTTGCCTTTGACATAGATTTTAGGGGCATCTAAAGTTCAGAAACAAGAAAAAGTAGTGAAAAGTCTCTTAGAACCAAGGAAATAATACAGTAGTAATTTTGTGCTTCTATAATGTACGCTTTATTTTTTTTACAGATTTTATTTATTTACTCAAAATAGGGAGGAGAGAGCACAGAGAGAGAGAGAGAGAGAAGCAGACTCCCTGCTGAGTAGAAAGCCCAACACGAGGCTCGATCCCAAGACCCCGAGATTGTGATCTGAGGCAAAGGCAGATGCTAAACTGACTGAGCCATCCAGGTACCCCTATAATGTACATGCTATATGCAATCCAGTAAAGGTCCAGGCTATCAAGATCTTTTCTGACCTGGAGACTGTGTTAGCCACCTCTGCCCAATAAGGATCCCTGAACAGTAGGGCCAATGTCCCTTCTATTTCTTCATCCAAGCAGAATGTGAAAACATTAGACAGAGCAGTGCCTCTGGCAATGGAGCTGACATCTCTCTATGTCATTCTATGTGAGCATCTTTCAGCCAACATGCCTCTTCAGGAATATCCTCATTGCTGGAGAATAAATGGAGAATCTGGGCTTCCATTTCCCAAAACTCAGTGCCAGATATTGAGCCTCCCTCTGTGTCTAAGACCCCAGCTTGTGGTACCTTTAGGAGGAAATAGGAAACATTTAGGAGTAAAGAGCCATGAGATGTGCACCTAACTTACTCTCAAAAGGTTCAGGAAATATTACTTTTTGAAATGATCATTATTATTGTCAAAATTATTCCCAAATAAAAAGCTTTCTAAAATGTAATCCTTAAAGCATGTCATTTTTAAATATACATTTAACACTGTAAACACTGTTTAATTACAGAAGATGAGGAGAAGGAAGAATGAAAAACGTGGTTTTCCAAGCCCTGCAAAAACCCTCTATAGACTGGATCCTTATGAAAATGTCAGTTCTAAATATCACTTGACGGATGTTTTTCCCAGGGTTTTTATTGGAAAGGATGTCAGGCATACCTTTTCCTCCAGACATAGTCTTCTGTGATGTGGTAGGCCCCTGCAGACATTTACCTGCCAGTCATTCCCAACACAACACTCTCCTTTTTCCCCAAGATCCTCCAAATAGGGACTGAATATTTACTGCATTCATATTAACATTTCACCTTTTCCACTGCTTGGCTTGGCTAAGACCTTTTTGGACACAGTCAGTGATCCTGTTGTTCAATGATTTAAGCAGTCCCATAACCTCCTTTTTTATCCTTCCTGGTCATTTCACTGCATACTACAACTTGGAATGAAGGGAGGTGCACACATAACAGGGAAGAAGAAGAAACTATTCCCAGTTCCTTGCTTTCAACGTAGATGTGTGGTCCTGATAGATGTGCTGATAAGACAGGAAGAGGAATATAGTGGCTCAGATGAAGTTCAGGGATATGGGTAAAATTCTTGAGCAATTGCCAAATCTCAGAGAATTAACACACTAAAAGTGTAATTATCACACTTACAATGGTTGATATGGGTTGGGTGGTGCTCCTTGACTTTAGCTCATCATCATCTTCAACATGCATCCTGCACAGATGTCACTGCATGGGAAGAAGGAGTGGGCGGCATGTGGATATTTATGCATAGGTCCAGAAGTGGCTTACATCACTTCAGTCCACATCATACAATCCACAATCAATCGCAGATGTTGACACTCCTCCATCAAGAGATGGGCTATATTTCCTTCCCTTGAAACGGACTGGACCTTTATTAACTAACTCTACCAGTGGTACATGGTGGAAGTGATGCTGCAGGACTTCCGAAGCAGGGTTGTAAAGGGCAATATAGCTGTGGCTTGGCTCACTCTCTGTCTTTGAATGTTAATGCTTGGGCTCCAGATGACATGTTGTAAGGAAACCCAAGCCACATGGATGCTCCAGTTAACAGCCCCACCTAGTTCTGAAGCCAACAGCCAGGAGCAACTGCCAGACCTGTAAGTGAGTGAGCCTTCAGCCAACCTTCTAGGGCAGGTCTTAGACATGATACAGTAGAAATAAGCCATCCTGCTATAACTGGGTAAATTCCTGACCCACAAAAATGATAAGAAATAATAAATCATCATTATTGCCTTAAACCACTAGGTCTGGCAGAAACCTGTGCAGCAATACAGTGAACATCAGGCTGTTTGTCAGGATTCTCAGAGCACCAGCTGGGAGAAAAAAAGTTACCACAGCCATTCTTAGTACTGCCATCCTCATCAGTTATTGTGTGAGTCAGGGTCTTGGCAAGAAACACAGATGTCATACTGAAAAGAGGAAACTATGGAGAGTTTTTAAAGGTCATTAGGGTAGGGTTAAGCAAACTTATTAGTGACATACCTGGGACTGACAACAATGGAGGGACACTACCATCCTAGGCCTCAAGAGGCATGGTGGGGAATGGTGACTAGAGTCTGGCAAGAGCTCTAACTACAGGGTAGGGGATTAGCTGAAAGAGATCGTGACCTCTAGAAGGCAACCACTGTCAGACTGAAGCCCAGCAAACCCAACTGGTGGAATAAATTCCCAAACTCCCTTCTCACTCTGATTTTCCATTCTTGTTTTCTATTGGCTGAACCCAACAGGAAAGGAAAAGGCAAGGGAGCCTGGCTGATGCAGTCCATATGCGTCTCCCAGGGGGCAGAGTGGGATGACAAAGGTAGAGAGTAGACCCAGAGAGGGAATGCAAATATCCTGCATGCTCACCATCATCAACAGCATCTTCTTCATCATCATCTTTGTACTATTCAGATGTGTGTACTGCTTCTAGGTTTACAGAATAACTCCTCATACTTTCTCTTGTATCATCCTCAGAAGGTCGCCCTTGCAGTATCCTCTGAATCTAACAGAGGGCTTGAAACATAACTGGTGTTGAGTTCAATGCCATACATATCTAGAATGCTTACTCTGTTCAAGGCCCCAGGCTGGAAACATGGATACAGCATTAAGATTCCAAGATAAATATGTTAAATATCATAAGAATTACACAGTGTTGAGAAGGCTTGATCTGAAAAGACTCAGGGATGTGGTAGTGCTCAAGATTGACCTTCAGAGATAGGCAGATCTCAACAGTTGTGCTTGGAAGGAGAGTTTTCACATCCTGGGAACCACACAAAGAAAAAGTTGAAGGTGGCTAAGTAGAACATATGCTCTGAGGACAGGAAATATTTCCATTTTGCTAGAGCATAGAATATATAGAGATTAAGATGTAAGTTATGAAGTTAAAAATGTTGAGTGGTTATATAGTGGTAAGTCAAAAAAAACCAAGATGCATTGGTACATACCAGCACATCAGGTACAGGGGAGTCACTGATGGCTTTTAAGGAGAGAAAGAATGTGTTCTAACTGTTCTTCAGGAATACCAAGTTTACAGCAGTGGCTGGGACAAATCAAGTGAGCACACATATGACACGGAGAGATTACTTATGGGGCTACTGTCCTGTTTCAGTAATGAGAATCTTGCCTGGGGGATGGCAAACAGAAGCAGAAAAAGAGAATGTGGCATCAGGTTGACAATGTGAAAACCAAGAGTAGACAATGACTCTTCCTAAAGCCAGTCCCCACTGGGCATAGAGATGCCTTTGTTCAACATTCACAAGTATTTACTGAGTGACTACTTCATGCCAAGCACTGCTCTGGATTTTATGAACACAGCAGGAAGCAAGATGGATAAACCAATCTCACTGTCTACCTGGATTCAAGAACAGAGAGTAATACCACCGACACAACCAAGGTGAGTATCCAGATACATTCTATAAAAACACGTAAAGTTTTATAAAAAAAACTTTGGAGTACTGAAAGATTTCTTTCAATTTCAAAGTTTAACATATACATAAAATAGGTTTCAAAATTATCTTTCAGGGGCACCTGGGTAGCTCAGATGGTTGAGCAGCCAACTCTTGGTTTCCACTCAGGCCTTGGTCTTGGGGTCATGAGATTGAGCCTTGAGTCTGGCTCTGACTGACCGTGGAGACTGCTTTCTCTGCCCCTCTCCCTACTCACTCTTTCTCTCTCACTAAATAAATAAATAAATAAATAAATAAATAAATAAATAAATAAATAATCTTAAAGAAAAGAAATTACCTGGGAATCCCTGGTTGGCTCAGTGGTTGAGTATCTTGCCTTCGGCCCAGGGTGGGATCCTGGAGTCCTGGGATTGAGTCCCACATCAGGCTCCTTACGTGGAGCCTGCATCGCCCTCTGCTTGTGTCTCTGGATCTCTCTCTGTGTCTCTCATGAATAAATAAATAAATAAAATCTTAAAAAAAGAAAAGAAAAGAAAGAAAAGAAAAGAAAGGAAAGGAAAAGAAAAGAAAAGAAATTACCTTTCAGAGCAGATATGGGAAGGGGAAAGGCAGCTTCAGTGAGATGTGTTGGAGAAGTAACAGATTAGATTTGGGTATTTATATGCAAAGATCCACACATTCTCCTGCCACCCACCTATTCAGTTCTCCCTATTGTCCTCCACACCCACCTCAAGTCACCTAGGCCACTGAGAGTTTCAGTAACATGCAAACCAAAAGTATATACCACTTAGTGATATTTTTTAAATCAAGAAATACAAGTACATAACACAAAAATATACTCAATATCACTCTTTACCAGGGAAATGCAAATCAAAACCATAATGAGACATCACCTCACATCTGTCAGATAGGCTATTATCAAAAAGACAAAGATAACAAGTGTTGTTGAATGGAATATTACTCAGCCATTAGAAACGACAAAAACCAACCATTTGCTTCGATGTGGATGGAACTGGAGGGTATTATGCTGAGTGAAGCAAGTCAATCAGAGAAGGACAAACATTATATGGTCTCATTCATTTGGGGGAATATAAAAAGTAATGAAAGGGACTAAAGGGGAAAGGAGAGAAAATGAGTGGGAAATATCACAGAGGGAGACAGAACATGAGAGACTCCTAACTCTGGGAAACGAACAAGGGGTGGTGGAAAGGGAGGTGGGCGGGGGGTGGGGGTGACTAGGTGACAGGCACTGAGTGGGGCACTTGGCTGGATGAGCACTGGGTGTTATGTTCTATGTTGGCAAATTGAACTCCAATTAAAAAAAAAGTGTTGTTGAAGACGTAGAGAAAAGGAAAACCCTTGTGCACTGTTGGTGGGAATGTACATGGATGCAGCAGCTATGGAAGATGGTCTGGAGGGTCCTCAGAAAATGAAAATAGCATGACTATACTACCTAGCAATTCCACCTCTGAGTATTTCTCTAAAGAAAACAGAAACACCAATCAAAGAGATATATGCACCCCTACGTCCACTGTAGTATTAGTTACAAAAGCCAAGATATGGAAGCAACTCAAGTGTCCACCAATAGAAAATGGATAAAAAAGATGTGGTGAATTTCTGTGGAATATTACTCAGTCACAAAAAGAGAGGGCTTTAGGCTAAGTGAGATAAGTCAGACAGGGAAAGACATATACTTTTACACAGAATCTGAAAACAAAACAAACAGAAATAGACTCATAGATATAGGGAATAAACAGGTAGTTACCAAAAGGGGAAGGGACAGGTAAAGTAGGCAAAGGGCATTAAGAGGTACAAACTTCCAGTTATAAAAAAAGAAAAGAAAGAAATGCAAGTACATGATCTGACAAGTGCGCTTACTAGGAAAAAAACTGGGAGACTGTTTAAAAATGGGCATCTCCCAGAAAATCTGCTGACACACGCAGGTATGCCGGCATCTTTATACTTGTGCCTGTGAAGAGGGGGTTGGGTTTAGGATTGGGTGGGGGGAAGAAGGTCATGAATGATTCATTTACTCAATCATCTTTATTGAACACTTTCTGTTCTCCACACTGTGTTGAGGACTGACAGCCATGAGATGAATGAGACAGCCTCAACCCTAAAATATTTGTATTCTCTTCCAAGAAAGGGGAAAATATCTATAGATGAAATTAACCAGTCAGTTTTTATAGGTTCCAAGGGCCCAGCACAGTGCCCAACTTTATTCAGGAAGTTGGGTAACCAAGTTGGGTTTATCTTCATTTTTAAATGGACAAGAGAGGTTGAACAATGGTTTAAGGCCACAAGCATTAGGGGACCAGCCAGCTTAGAGTAGTCTTTCCATTACATGCCAAGCTAAGGTCAAGTAAGCCAAGCTAACAATTTCAGACTATGGAGACCCCATCTATGATTTCCAGTAAACTCAGTCTTGAAACAAAGGTGGGACTCACCTTTGCCTTGCTTCACCCCAAGGAGGAGGGAAATGAGAAGGTTCAGAATTGGAGGGAGATGTTGTCTTTGAGGAGGCTAGTGTTGAGTCTGGTCATTGAGCTAGCAATTGAAATCATTAGAAGATATTGAAGAAATAAATTGAGAATTTCATCTTGGGGCACCTGAGTGGCTCAGCAGTTGAGCATCTGCCTTCAGCAGGGTGTGACCCCAGAGAACAGGGATCAAGTCCCACATCAGGTTCCCTGCATGGAACCTGCTTCTCCCTCTGCCTCTGTCTCTGCCTCTCTCTGTGTGTCTCTCATGAATAAATAAATAAAATCTTTTAAAAAGAGAGAGAGAGAATTTCATCTTGTAAGAAACAAGAATTCTCTGATGGCCTTGGTGAGCATAGGAACAGAGAGGCTTGGGGATACTTTCCAGATGCCAGGTCATAGAGTGAAAGATGCCAGGAAACCCAGAAAGGAGGTAAAACAGAGGGGCCTGGACATGGATGTTGGAGGTGAGGTTGGAAAAGGAGATAAACATGGGAGGTGAGACATTACAAACAAGAGCCAACAGTAAATATGGTGCCTCAAAAACATGGAAGGGGAAGATGAGAGAAGGAACTCATTTTGTCGAAACGCTGGGTAGGATGGAGTGATATCTAGGGCCATCAGAAGAAATGTCTGACAAGCATCTAAAGAGGTTAGATTAAAGAACTCAGGAGGGAGATGAGGCTAGAGGCTGGGTGGAGGTCCTCTACACAAAGGTGATGGGGAGTAGGTGTAGCTCTTAGATAGAAGAGTCAAAAGAAAGAAAAGCAGAGAGCTGAACCTTGGAGCCTCAGAGGGGCTTCCATGGATGAATAGGAGAATGATGAGCAGTTGGTTAAGGAAATGATTATTACAACATCAGAAGAAAATCCATAGCTGCATCATCATGGAAAGCAAGGAAAAGAGTTTCAAGAAGGAAATGCTAATGAATGGTGTCTTCCACTGCCATGCTCACAGAGAGATGGCTGTTGGGTCTGTGATTCCAGGGTTGAAATGTGGTGTGTATTCTGGTAACAGACTAAACAGTGGGGAGTTAAAAAGAACAAAAGGAGTAAACTAGTCACAGCATCACCTACAGATGACTTCTTTGACTACGTCAGCAGTCAGCACTAGGAAAGCCCTTGACAAGAGTCTAGGAGAGGCCCATGTGGCTTCAGTAGACAGGAAGATGGTCACCCAGACTCCAGTCTATCTCTAACATGAAACTGCTGAGAGATCTGGGGGGCAAACAGCTTAAGTAGTGTGAACCCCAATTTTTTCACTTGTTATTTAGGAAATTTTCAGATACATTAGAGACAATGGTATATCACATCAGTCCACTCCCAGAATTACCAACCCATAGTCAGTCTTAATTTACGTTTACTCCACCCACTATATTCCCCAGCTGCTTCATTGGAAGGTTAATTAGAATTAACCCATATTAAATCATGCCTTCCTTAGATAATTTTTTGAATGTTACTCTAAAAGGTACAAACTTTAAAAAGTATAGTCACATGCCATTGCTACATATAAAAAGTTGACAATAATTCCTGAATAGGCCATACATGTTTAGATTTTTCTAATTATCTCATACTATTACAGGGCTGGGGGAGGTGAAGGAGGAAGTTGTTTTTTGAAATAAGATCTAAAAATCTACAGGTGGCAATTGGCTAATATATGCTTTCTATATGTTTGAATCTGTAAGTTCTCCCTTTTTTCTTAATGATTATTTGTTGAAGAAACAAGGTATTATATCTAATATATGCTGTTTCCCACCATCTGGATTTTACTGACAACACTCAAACAGTACCATTCAGTTTTTTCGGTTCTCTATATTTCAGTTAGATCCAGCGGTTTGATGTGGTTCATGCTTGATTTTTGTCAAAAAATTTTGTGTGTTTTCTATTGTATCACATTGGTAGGTACAAATGTCTTGTGTCATCTCTTTTTGTGATGTTCAGATTGATGTGTAGGTCCATAGCCATCTACCCCACCCATCTAGGATGAATCTCCAATACTTTCCACATTGGCAGGGAGATACAAGTTCTTACTTTCTTACAGAAAATCTGATCTATTTTGATCAGCAAAAAATTCAAGACTCTACACATAGTAGGTCAATACATATAAAAATTGATATTCCTTTAATAAAAAATGTTTATTCATATCCATGATAAACTATAGTTGATTTCTTTAAGATAAAAGCAAGGTTCAGAATGTGATCTGTCACTGACACTGAAATGATAGGTATAGAATCCCTCATAAAAAGCACAGTGATAGTGGTGCCTCAGTGGCTCAATTGGTTAAGCGTCTGCCTTCGGCTTAGGTCATGATCTCAGGGTCCTGGGATCTAGCCCCAAATTGGGCTCCCTCCTTGGCAGGGAGCCTGCTTCTCCCTCTCTCTTCTGCATGTGCGCTCTCTCACTCTCATTCTCTCTTTCAAATAAATAAAATCTTTTAAAAATGTATAATGATAATTGGATGTAAGCAGCTTGTTCAAACTGTCCCTCTCTGTGGGCCTGGGCACAAACCTCTGGAAACCCACTATTGGTAACAACACAGGTGGTACAGAAAGCAGGTTTTCCTTGTCATAGGGGCCTATATGATGGTGCTGGCAGGGAGAATGGAAAAGCAGTGATAAATGTGCATTACGAAAGAAGAATTAACAGGATTTGGTAAATAATTAAAGAAAGGGAGAATTGAAACATTGCCAATACCTTGACCAACTGACTCTCAAGTAACAAAGGAATGTGATTTGGAAATTTCACAAGAGCATGAAAACTGTCCTGCTGGTTTAGGTCAATGGACATCCCAACTGGTATTGCTCCAACTTCACAGATAACTGGTGTGCTCAGATAACCTCAGAAATTTCCCTAAACCATCAGAATCCACCCTTTCATCTCTAGATATTTCTTAGAAAAGTGCTAATAAACAACAAATAGACCCATTGCTCAGAGATATCCTAAAATGCTGAGTCATGTGCATTTTAAGGAAATAAAATATTGACTCATTCATCTGGAAAAATTCAGATGCTTCAGTCCCTATGTAATGAATTGGTTAAGTAAATACACAGGGGAAGCTGCAACACCCCTGCACATATGAAAAATTCTGTAGAATAAGTCAGAATTATTCTTTCTGCCATGTAGTCAATATCATTAATGATCCGCAGAGCTGGGGGGGCCAGAAGCTTGAGCACTGGCAAGGGTCAGGAGACACACCAGGGGCCTACCCCGGGGTCCTGGAGGAAAGGAAGAAGGAAAGAAGAGAACAGACAGTGAAACCTAGAAAAAAGATCCGAGAGAAACAACTCGATCCTGGAACTGGCCCCCAAAATGCTTATTAGAAGCAGTATATTATAGTAAATCTCAGGAGTTTAGTTTAGACTATCTTTTAAAAAAAATTATTTCTTTATTTGAGAGAGAGCAAGGGAGAACACAGAAGGAGAGGGAGAAGCAGACTCCTGCTGAGAGGAAAGCCCGATGTGGGGTTCCATCCCAGGACTCTGGGATCATGACCCGAGCCAAAGGCAGATGCCTAACCATCCAAGCCACCCAGGTGCCCCTGGTTTAGACTTTCAATGGAAAAGTCCCCCACCACAGAACCTATTTTTCAGTGGGTATTCCCAGACCAAAAAAAGCCTGTCCGCCAACCCATTTATACCCACGTTGGTGCAAAATTACCTTTGGTGCAGTTAAGGATCTCACCCCTCCAGCTACCTCACAAAGAAGAGACCCAACACCGACACTGGCATTTGACAAGGAACAGTCCACGTGGGAATCAGTTGTCTATTGGGATGGCTGTGCAGGCTTGCTGGTATCTGGAAAGAGCCTTCCACAGACAACCAGGGCCTCTCAAGGGCCTCCTGCCATGGAAGGGCCTTGGGCTCCTTCAGTGGGGGGCATCCCTATGGTGGGCCACAGAAGGAGTCAGGGATTCTTGGGAACAGAGCCTGCTTTTTTCTTTCTTTTTTTTTTTTTTTCAGAGCCTGCTTTAAAGGTGATGTGAAGAACTTTGTCATGTCATCTCTGTTTAAGTGGAAATCAGTGGAGGGCTCTGAGGCCAGAGGTTCATGGCAGATGATGGTTCTTGTAAGAAAGCAAGCTTTGTGTGGCCGGAGGTGGTGTTTGCAGCACGGTAGACAGGAAGGAAGAAAGTGAGGAATGTGTGCTGAGCGGAGTGTGATCTCGGCACCTTTCCTTGGCAGTACTCGAGCCTCACTTGAGACAAATTCTTAAGATAATCATAAAAAAAAAAAAACATAGCAACCTTGTTGATGTTGGGATTTGCACTGGGATTCCAAATCGAGAGGTAGGGCTGGAGAAACAGGTTTGGATTTCTTTCACAGAGCAGGCAAAAGAATGCGAGTCCTTCTCAGCAAGGATCAGGAGCTGACGGCTCACACCAAATCGCACCCCTTGTTTCCATAACCAGAAATGAGTCCCAAATGCATCACCAGCATCATTTATGACCAGGGAATTTTGCAAAGCCAACTTTTTTTTTACAGTGGTCTGGGAAATTATTTTATTTTATCTGCTGACGAGAGAGAGAGAGAGAGAGAGAGAGAGGCTGAGGACAACAGATGCGTTGGCATTTCCAAGCCTTCACCCGTGTTACTTCCCAGGGGCCGAGGGTGACATGCTACCACCCCAGTCCCTTCAGCATCAGTGCATCAGTGTAAAGAAGAAAAAGATGCTTCTGAGAGTGTGTGGCAAGTGAGCTCAGAGGCATGAGGCTCCGGATTTGTGGTTAGAAGAATAAAGTGAAGGGGAGAGCGCAATGGTTCTCCCAGTGGCACCTCCAGCGCACACCGACAGGCCAGCCCCAGCGAGCACAGGGAGATAAGTGGAGGACAACTCTTTCAGCTGAAAGTGGGAGGTCATGAGTGGGCCTCCTGGGAAGGGGACTGCAGGAAGTAGGGGTGAGGGAGAGAGGAAGAGGAGGCAGGGAGGAAGAGGAGCACCATGGGGCTGCTCACTGTCATCCCCCCAAGAGCTGAGTGGAATGCTCATCAGACCTGCCCCTACCCTGTCCCCTGAAGCTTGCAACTACCAGGAGCAGGCTGGGAGGGGTCATGCCCGCAAGGGCAAAAATCAACATTCTATGTCAATGCCAAGTGCATCCCAGCCCGTAGGGACTGCTCTCTACAGAGGTGATGAGTCTATGAATCAGGATCCAAAAGGGGCCCATATGTCCCCAAACCAGAGAGACCCCCAGAGTCATCACCCACGAATCGTTTTCCTCATGTCATTCTGGAAGGCGTTCTAACAGGCCACCTTGGCCCTGCACACTTCTCTCCTCCCCCGTCACCATCCCTCTAAGATCTCTGTGGCTTCTCCTCCAGCAGGAGAGAGGAAGCACCTACAGGCTGCACCCCTGTGTGAGCCTCAGCCAGGTGGTTTCTGAGCCACCTCCCAGCCTGTCCCCTCTCACCTCTGCGTCTGGGCTCCCGACCTCAGGATGCCAAAGTACCTGTCTTGGACACAAAGGAGGCAGACCTCTTTACTCTCAGAATCCCCATCTTTGCAGCTGTAATTCACACAGATGCATTCTCAGTTCCTTCTCTGTGACTCCAGAGGTCCCTTCCCCTCCTAAACATGTTTAGAGGAAGGAAGTCTGAGCCATGGGTTTTCCGCAGGTCACACACCTAAAGGAGTGTCTTCACAGAGCAGCGCTGACAGTCCACCACGGAGGAGGGGGAAGCAGAGAAATGGGCAGTGGCTCCTTCCCAGGAGGACACATCCCTCGTGGGGCCAAGGCCCACAGCAGGGCACGTGGGCTCCTGGATCAGTGCAGGCTGGTCCTCCCCTTCTGCCCGAGGGATCTTAAGAGCATGATTTATTTGCCAAACACAAGACCAGTTGCCATATAGATGGTGCCAAGATCAAGGTAAATGCCGTCCTCTTCAAAATTTGAGTCTCTGCCCTTGACCAACTTCCATAAGGTGGGTGACCTTGAGAATTACTGCTAGGAACATTTCAGAATGCTTTACATTTAACACCTCTTTTTCCTACATCATTTTGGGCCTTTTCTATGCAATAAGTATTTAAAACCCTACCCCTGTACGAAGTTTTCCTCAGAAGATACATCATTAATGTGATCTGGAACTGTTGGGTCACAATTCAGAGAATTTAGGGTGCCCCAGCCTTCCTACTCCACTGTCAACAGTAAAGTCCTGAGACCGTAGGATATGTGGTTTCTAGCCTTCACCGATTTTTCTTTCCAGGAACTGTAGCAGAGTAAGCTGCTATTTTGTTTTGTTTTGTTTCTGATACACAAGACATCCCAGGCCCTAGAACATGGGTGGCTAGCATTTTAATTAATGTTAATGCCTGGACTGACCACCTTCCTCCCCTAATGATTTTTAGTAAGGGGAAATAAACTAGCAAACTGGAGAAAAGCCATGTATGAGTGTGTGGGTTCTTTCTGGAAAAGGTACTCACCTGGGTAGGCAGGCCAGCTTCCTTACCAGGCTGTCTCCATCCTCACCAACCCCAGTCAATATGGAAAATTTCAGTTCAAATTTTCAGTTGTGGGGTGGCAGGGGGTATTTCTCCTTCTCATAAATAAAATAAATACTTCTGGGGATTCTGAATCAGTTTGAAGTCTCCATTTCCTTGTTACAGGATCATTTTTATTCTGAAGTCAATAGTACCAGAATGTGTTAAGCCACAATTTCACAACAACAAAAAAAGATACATGGCAAACGCCCTCAAATTCCTAGACTCTGGCCCTACAATCAACCTGATATTTAAATCAGTATGGTAACCCTCTGTTGGTTCAAAGTATAGTCACAGTTTCCCCAGAGATACTGTGTTTCTTTTATCTTTTCCAGTAAATTTCTTTTTCCCCCAACCTTCATGGTTAAGCATTTTATCCAGTTTAAACGATGGGGATTTAAATTGCTATTTTAGTGGAAGAGGCTTGATTAAAACCTGTGTCCTCATCAAATTATTGGACAGTGGTTCTTGGGTTCTGTTTACATTAGTGTCAACCTTAATTTAAATTCTGCATAACTATATTTGCTTCGCTAAATGCATTCACCAGGAACAAACCACAAATTACTTTGCATTATGAGCAGAGTCTCTTTGTCTATTGCAAAGTGTTTTGAAATTAGCACCATAAGTAACTAGCTGTAAGTGTCACTCGATCTCCTTAATGCCTCATTAATCAAACCCCGTGGCAGCTGGTGTGATGTCCAAGCCCGTCTCATATAAGATCAGTATCACTTGCTCCTTGCTTCTGACCACAGTCCTTTAAACTTGATTCATTATTTGTGTCTTTGCCTTCCACTGTGGCATTCCTTCCTCCTCAGGCGCCTCCCAGCGTGTGCAGCTTTGTGCAGCATACCAGGCACATGTGCATTCTTTGCAGAAATTGGCAATAAAAAAACATTTCCCCTCTTGTGGAAATCCATGATCTCAAAAGGAGAAAAGTAATTTCCCTGAGTTACCCACAACAATTCAATATAATTTTCAGATCACTCTTAAAATGATGTGTGAGAAAAATTTCCCTGGGCAAGTTTTTCTTCATGTTAAGAGTTAGGGAGGAGAAAAGAAATTCATTTACCCAAGCAGACTACGATTCCTTCACCTGGCCCCAGTTTTCATAAAGGTGGCATACATTTAATCTAAGCACTTGATCAGAAAAGCAAGTGTGTTTCTCCTTTATTATGTGCTAACATTTCTGTACTAAATACAGTATTTTAAAATCTGTGCTTGGAAAAGAAATGCATAACATCTTGTACTTGACAGTTTTATTGCGATCCTTACAGATAAAAAAAAAAGGTTATTCCATCATCCATGTTTACACAAAAACATAGCAAAAGTAACATATTTTAAGGAATCCTTTTTTACATGGTTCCAACACACATTTGCAAATGTCTAAATAGAATTCTCCCTCCCCCCATCTTCTATTGCTTCTTCCCTGCAGGGCAGAACACACACACACACACACACACACACACACACACATCTTTTAGACCAAATTTAATGCTCATTGGCTTTAAAACTACCTAGCAGCTCTACTGGACAATGGGCACACGACATTTTCCAGGATGTCTTGAGCCAGACTTGGGCACATGGGGCAGGCGTCTCTGGGCAGGGAGGCCCTGTGCCCGCCAGGAGTGGTGCGTGGTGTCCCCCGCACGCGCAGGTGGCACACGCAGAGCTCACCGTGGAGTGGCGGAGGCCCGACAGGTGCTCCCGTCTCCTGCGGCTGCGGCACGTGAGGCCCCTCTCACAGAGCACTGTCTCCATGGGAGGCCTTTGGCTCCATGGCCTTTCCTTCTGACCACCCAGCAGGAAAAATATACAGAAGGTTTTGTTTTTTCTTTTTCCTGTGAGTTTTGTCAGTGTGAAAAAAAAACAAAACAGCATTGAAACTTTGTACTTCCCGCAGGTGGGCTTCTGGCCTGTGAACAATTAATGCAATCATAGTAAGCTGTGAATTTTCATTAGTGTTAAACTTTTTGCCTTTTCACCTTATAAAACCATTCAGGCTAAATGAACCTTATTACAATAGATTTAAGCATTGTGGCCTGGCTCCCAAAACCAACATTGGTGGCAAAACCCACTGAGTTGGAACACACACACACACACACACACACACACGACAGTGCAAACCCATGTCAGATTTTGACTTTAAAATGAATTTAATGTAAACCAAATTTTGTGCTTATTTTTATATTATTACCATGTCTACTGTCTCTTATGGCATTTAAAATGGGCTCTGACTTTAAAAGAGCAAATGTGAAAGAACATTTGATTATATTTTAGGTGACATTTACTCTGATTAGAGGGGTAATTTATGGCAATTACAAAAGTACATTTTATGTTCATCTCCAGATCACCCTGTTTTTAACTCTGATTCCAGCAACCTCTATCCATTACTATCCTGAGCAATATAAGTTTGAAAAGGAGGAGTCCAAAAGGATTTTTAGAAGTGTCAGATCATCACCAAACACAGTTTTTAAATTGCCAATTCAAAACTTTCCCCTCAGGAGAAAAAAATGAGTGGAAAATATCAGAAAGGGAGACAGAACATAAAGACTCCTAACTCTGGGAAATGAACTAGGGGTGGTGGAAGGGGAGGAGGGCAGGGGGGTGGGGGTGAATGGGTGACGGGCACTGAGGTGGGCACTTGACGGGATGAGCACTGGGTGTTATTCTGTATGTTGGCAAATTCAACACCAATAAAAAATAAATTTATAAAAAAATAAACAAAACAAGACAAAACTTTCCCCTCTTTCCAGCAGCCAGAGAACTCTGATTATTTAAACCAAAAATTCTGCCTTAAAAGCCCCCCCCCCCACCAACAATCACTATATGCATACCTCCTCCGGCTCCTTTTCCCCAAAAAAGCATTTCGGTCTAGCAAGCAGGACAAATTGCTGAACCCTTTTATAGAAATGCCCTGCAAAGATTGTATCTGATCTCTGATCAGATTTAAGAAAGAAAGGGAAAAATCATGAATCAGATACAAGCCATGTCACAGTCCTAGCTCCTCCAGGCCCGTCTTCCACTCTGTCATTCCATTCTCCCCCTTTCCATCCCCTTGTACAATAAAGGAGAGCTGAGCCTAACCCTCTACAGTACAGGCACCCCGAGATTTAGGGAGATAAGTACAGCCTTACTTAGCTGCGATGCTGCAGCTGTGCTCTTATCTGGCCAAAGGAGACAGGGAACAACAAAAGACCCCAAAGAAGGGACAGTGGATGCATGGGAAACCCAGTACCCCAGCATTGTGGTGCCCTTCTGCTGAGCAAATAGTTCAAACTGTTCATTCCCATCTTCTATTCTCTCCCTGGTACATTGTTTGTGCCCTTGCATTTCATTCTGCAAGGAAGGTTGCTCTCTGGGCCTATAAGCAAACAGTCCAGAAAAGAGCTAGCCAGCCTCTTCTCTTCCCGGGAGAACTAGCATTTTTATTTCGGCTCCAAGCTGTCAAAGACCTGGAGAGTTTATGTCAGTGTCCTGAATTAATTGCTTTAAGCTGGAGCAAGCTCCATGGGCTACCAAATGTCCAGAAGATGTTTATTAATAACGTTTCCTCCAAGATTCTGGTTCCAAGCTGTCCTCGGTGGTGGCCTTTATCCGGCTACCACCCTGCTGCCCCTGGCCTCTTGGGACTTGCCTTTTGCAGTCATCGTGACCAAATTTAGAATTGACTGGAGTGGAAAAAATAGCCACTTATGGAAAAGCACATGGATGGTGAACATCTTTGTTTAGGCCCAGAAAGGTCCCAGAGTTACAGAAACTGTGTGTGTGACCCTGAAGTGGGCCCGGGGGGCGAATGGGGGGAGGACCTGCAAGGATACTCTACTCTGGAAGCTCATGTTGCCAATGCAAAGGGAGCAGAATAAATCACATCCTTCTGCTCCCCTTCCCTACCTCCTCCCCCAAATGAAAATTCAGGGAGGCTGACAACAGGATGCATTTTGAAGTTTTCCTGGTATAAAAAAAAAAAAGCCTCTTTAATAGAATGAAATAATAAACCAATTTATATACTGATATAAGACTAGGATCGTGAGTGCCATTGTGTAATTTTCCACTTGACTTTTCATTATCTACCTGAACAAAATCAATCTATATGTATGGGATCAACATACAATTCCGGAGATAAAAGCTGAAAATAAATGTGCTTTGCATATCCCGCAGATAAAAGACACAGTCCTTCCTACTGCCTTTTCTTCTCCAGAAGATGCATTTATAAAAGAAATTGTGTGTCAAGGAAAAAAACGAGATGTACATGGTGGGGTATCTTGCGTGTTGACTCCTTTGCTTGAAATATTGATCCCACAAATGAGCAGTGGTTAATAAGTACCCAGCAGACGATATCAGGTCTTTTGCCCTAGTTTACCCAGAGCCCAGAGTGCAGTCTGGGTCAATGTTTCTCCCAACCAAATCTCCCCACCTAAAAAAAAAAAAAAAAAAAAAAAAGGACTTCCTCTATTAACATGGATTTAAGGCTGAGGACTTCAAGGGCTTTCTGAAGCCTCTCCACAGAGACAAAGCACACTAAAAAATCACATTATGTTAGAAACCCCCGTGCAGTAAATGGCCAGCTTGTGAAAGACACTCAGTCTTCAAAAGGAAAGGAGAGGTGATCTGGGGGTCTTGGGGTTGACATTTTTTTCACTCAAGACAGGTTGAACTCTGTGCCTTTTATATCCTCCCTCACCCCAATAATTGAAAATGGCACGAAGTACAAGTCTCCCCATCCTGGGACCCCCGAGACCCGCGATCCCCTTTCTTTTGGAATGTGTGGCCATCAGCACGGCACACATGTGCTCTGGTGGGCAGGTGGCAGAGGCACTGGTTTGTGTGTCCTGGGCTGCTGGTGCCCCCCACCCCCACCCCGACCAAGTCCAGGGCTCACTGGGGGAAGCTGTGCAAGCTCTGCCTACCCCAGGGGGCGCTCAAGGGGCCTGTTGACAGGCTGGCTGCACTCTGCTTTCCATGAGGCTGAGAATTTTATCAGCCCCTAAAGAAAGGCTCACAAGAGAAGGGTACTGGAGCACTTTTCACCACAAGCAATCACTCCGTGTCTGTGGATTTTTTCTGGCCATTGGAAAGTAATAACGTCTCAAGATAGTCACCTACTTTCAGGCCAGGAATTTATAAAAATTGGCCACTGGTCAGTATTCAGTCACAGTAAGCTTAGTGACTTCAAGATTAAACGTCTACTTAGGCGACCTGTCACAACTTCCATTTGCACTGCAGGGCAAATCAGCACTTTCACATTTTAGCATCTTGGGTTGACATCTTCTGATGCCTTGTTGGTCTGGTGGTTTGGTACAAGGCTGCAAGTCTCGATTCTCATGTGCCCCCTTCCCTTTATCCTGAGATCTCGCTCCATATGCATTCACAGCACCCATCTGGACTTGGACTATCGCCTCTCTACGGACAGTCTGCTTTTGTGTCTCATTCCTCAGTTGATATTCATTGAAAACTCAGAGAAAACATCCAGGAGCAATCTGAATCTGACAGCAAAGTTATGGCCTTTTGGGGACACTCTTGTGATGGTCAGAGTTCAGCTTGCGGAGAAGCTCATGTGCTTTCTGTCACGTGGGGCCCTTAGGAAAGCAGCATGTTTCCTCCCTCTCATCTTTTTGCTCTGGTAGCTGGGAATAACACATCTAGAGAAAACGTAAGAATGTGGCCAAGGAGAGTCAGGCAGTCATTTGCATTTTGTTTGAAAAGTGAACTGCATCCTGATGGTATGTTTTGAAGTCTCTATATTCTCACTAGAAAAGTGATGCCCTCTATGGCTAGAATATTCGGCCTCACTGAAGATATATTTTATACATGTTTTAATCACTCCCTGATTCAAACACTTAATTGGCATCATAGAGAACCAGTATAACACCTGAGCTTCATCTATCTTACAGAAAATCCTTTCAGAGTTTTGTACCCCTGAGCTCCATGAGGAAAGCGAACACACGAGAGCCAGGGGTTCCTACATCCACAGCCACGCTTGCTGGTGCTGGAAAATGTTATTGCTGAGTGATTTCATAGCCACCTTCTCAGGGACAAGGCTCCACGCGAACGCAGAACCTAACGGAGAGTCAGACCACAATCCATGTTCATAAGATAAATATTTACTAAACAGAAGGAGTGGAGTTGTTTTAAAGGGTATTTTTAGTAATTGGGTCAGAGTTGAACTATCTTGATGTTAATTCCAGCTGAAGAAGAATGGCTAGTCAGAAGTCCAGCAAATATAAGTAAGTGCATACATTCAGATAAATAGAATAAGTCAAAGTTGGCATCAACTTTTGCTACCTCTGACATTTTAAAAGCCATATATCAACAGTTTAAAATCTTTCGAGGAGGAGACAGATGGTGTAAACAAATTCAGGAATGAGGGTGAGGGACGGATGCCTGGGTGGCTCAGCGGTTGAGTGTCTGCCTTTGGCTCAGGTCGTGATCTCGGGATCCAGGGATCGGGTCTTACATCGGGGGTCCCTGGCAGGAGCCTGCTTCTCCCTCTGCCTGTGTCTCTGCCTCTCTCTGTGTGTCTCAGGAGTAAATAAGTAAAATCTTTAAGAAAAAAAAAAAAGGATTGAGGGTGAAAACATGTACACGTTAGTCTTCCTGACGGGGCTAAAAATGGAAAAAGACAAGCCCCCTCCCAGGCTGTTGGCGCACTGCAGCCATGGAAAGCCTACCAGGACCTGAAAAATGGAAAAAAATTACATATGCATAAGGGCAGCCTGGTTTGACAGTATATCTGCTTTTGTATCATAAGCTACCTTATTTTTCCTTCAATAATTGTCTTGTTTTTCCCTTTCAGTGTGTACACAACATCTTGAAAAATAACCAGAGTACACAGTGTTCTTAATCTCCATCAATGCCAGGAGACACAGTGCAAAGCCTCACTATGTCCCTTCACTCTAGGGGCATAGATTGATGAAGAAATAAGGAACCCATTTTACAGACGAGGAACTAAAATGTCATCCTTGCCCTGTGGGAAAGGCATTTAGTTTACCCTTCACCAAAAAGCCAAGCCAGGAATGGTTTTCAAAGCTGTTGTTTTTGCTTTTGGTTTTTGGAGGGCAGGGGAAGGTGGGGATGAGTACTGGGTGAAATGTGGCCCTCACTCAGAATCTCTTACACACCCCTCCAGAACCATCCACTCAAACTCAGTGAAGATAAAATCCCTCCTGGCTCTCTGAATCGTCAACACAGAAATCCATTCTGAAGAGGGAACAATCTAGAAAGAGAGGCAGGAGAGGGTTCTGCTGTTCTCTAAAGAAGCCATAAACTTGCCCCAGTACTTAAACTTTCCTTCAAGTGGTCCTAGATCAAGAAAGTTGTTTTTTAAGATGAAAAGAAAAAAATAACTGCAGCTTATCCACACTGACAGTTTGGAAGGTAAATCAAATTTTCACATTGAACACACACTGTCACTGCAGGAAAATTACTGGATTACAATGCTACAGAATGCAAGACGGCATCTCCACATGCAGCGAGAGACCCATGTAATTGCTTCTCTGTCTTCTCGTCTACATCAAGCTGTTCAAAACAATTTTTAATGTGGAGAACTAAGTAGAAAAAATCAGTGAAATGAAATCAACATTT